AGGAAGATAAATGAAAACTGCTTGCAAAAAATGCAGTCTCCTAGTTCTATGTAATTTTCCATTGACCGAAGTAGCGCGCATAATCATGAAAGTTTAACATGCGCCCGTAAATGGAAAAGCTCTCCCTTCGCTGTTCTATACAGGGCCTCGATTTTTCACAACAGAGAATGCAAGTACTAGATTCTAAAGAGTTCTGACGATGGTGTATAATATTAAGAAATGCTCGATTTTTTTACTTTTGTCCATCGCCCGGTATTCTACTAGAAACTAGAAAACACAGCGTCTCGGAAACTGGATCTCTTTCCATCATCAGGTGAGGAGGGGCAAGACACGTACTCTGTAAGTGACGCAACAGAGTACGTGTTTTCCCCCCGTACCTGAAGACGGAAAGAGATCCGGTTTTCCAGACGCTGTGTTTTCTAGTCTCTAACATACCGGACGATAGACAAAGTCCAAACACTCAGTAATTCAGAAAAAAAAAAACAAATTACGCATTAGTACTTTTTAGTGAGGTTATGATAACAGTAACGCACATTACAAATTTAAATTCGTGGAAAGTTTGTAAAGCTGTAACGGTAAAAGTAAAGTAAAGCTATCCCTGTAACAGGCCGTGGAGGCCCATAGGGTTGTGAGATGTTTAGGTTCCCACATTTTCTAGACAATCGGCTCATAGATGATGGCAAGGTTGTCAGCCTTACGCGCCGGCCGCCCTTTACCCCCAGGAAGATTCCTGGTACTCATTTCTGTTAGAGGCTAAGTCGACCCCAGGGCCATAATGCGGCTGGAAGGATTAGGTCAATTGAAAAAAGTCCAATGACCGCATCGGGACTTGAACCCGTGACCTTCCGGCTTGTAGCATAGTGGCTCAACCAACTACGCTACCGCGTGTCCCAAAGCTGTGACGTGGATCCGGAGTTTAGGCTACAAAAGAAGGAAGACAAACCTGAAACTGCGGAGATGAGAGCAGCAGGCTACACAAAGAAGGCCAAGTAAAGACGCCAAAATTATAGAACTAAATATTTTTAATTAAAATAATTTTAACGTAAAGGCAAAAGGAGATGGCGCAGCATACAGCACCCACAGTTAAACTGAAACAATCAACATACATCGAGAGGACGTAAGAGGCCAAACATTGTCTAAACTAAGAAGAAGAAGAAGAAGAAGAAGAATATAATATTATCACTTGTTCCAGTGACAAAGACGCGAGTTTGGATTGGTGAATCGGTTTATTGGATCTTCACTAGTCGTAACTACAATTAGTTCTTGCACTCTCAAGATTACTGTAACTACACACTAAGTTTTCTAATCCTTCTTGTGGCCACACTGCTGTTCCCTTGGAACTTCGGAACTCAAGTGAAGTCAATTCCCATTCCCGAATTTTCTTATATCTTCTCGGCTTCTAATGTTGCGTTGCGCAGACCACACAGAAAACAACTTACGTGATAACTATCTCGCCAGTCCATTGGCGCTGACTGTTGCCTAGCAACAAGCTATAAATATTCATCGTATTGTTGCGTGAACTTAAGCGAGTTGTTTATCGCGCCGTTGCCTAGCTATACACGTTACAGTATTTACTGACGCTCCCAGTAGCTCAGGTTATATAGTACCAAATGGTAGAATGATGAATTGGAAAGGTTGTGTACGGAAACCGTCGTGGCCTATATGAAGATATGATCTTGATATTTATCTGGAGAGACTGAGGTAAACCACGAAATGCCTCAGTCATAATAGCCGGCGTCCTGGTCGAGATTCAAACCGAAAATATCCCGAATGCAAGTCAGAGGAGTTTCCACCTGATGCAGCTCACTCGGTGAGAGTTTTGTGTAAAGTCCATCGTGTACACAGAAAAACTTCACGTGAGAACTGAATATTTCGCTGTGTAGGCAATGTAAGACCTACAGGTATGTCAGAAAATGGTTTTACGTCTAAAGCAGGTTGTAATAAAAAGCAACTCTCATATTCTGAACAACATAATCCCATAGAGTAATGTTTTTGGCTATTGAGCTGTGTTAAGAAACGTGGTACTCTGAACTTGAAACATAACTGTGCCAAATTTGCATAGAAATCTTTATAGAACCACAAATAAATCATTCGCTATGATGGTTCGGAAAAAATAGCCATGCCTCGTAGTTCAAGGGTTGTGATGTAAACCAGGGAATTAAAATTTGAAATAGCCATATACTGACGAAATCTCTGCAAAATTTGCACTGATTAATCTCATGTCCGCGCGTCGAAGTGATTTTAATCTCTTTATAATTGATTCAATCTGTTTAAAATACTAAGAAGCTTTCTGATAATTGCGGCCTAATCGATCGTTAACTTAGACAATCGAACATTAATTTATAAGCAGAAAGACAATGCAACTTTTATTAAACGGAAAACCTTGCCCCAATTAACTCTGATAACTGGTTTCACATCGACCGTTTTCTTCGAAGATAATAATTAACATTTTAACACTTTCTAATTTGTCGCTGAGTGAAATCGTTATCGAACCACCTCCTTTTAGCCCACCTTTCAAGGAATACTACAAGTTTCGTAAAATTACTTAGAATGAATGGGATTCTAATTCAAACCAAGCGCATGAAACACCGAAAACCCTTCATCAGTAATGATCGCTTAATTTGTGCATGATAAATTTAATTGCGACTTCTAGGAGAATCCTAGGGGGCAGAAATGTTCTAACTTAAATGCATATAATTCACAGTTGTAACCACATAGCGGAGCTTCAACAATTAACTCGCTAGAGACAAAAATTGAAATCTCTAGACGGAAAAGAATGATTCACTTTCAAGAAATGGGCTATGTTGGTACACCAAGTTTTATCTGAAAACTAGAACTGTATCTTATTTTTCTTTTATTGCTAGTGGGGTGGGACTAAGTCCCTTATACTGCGGCCACTTCTGGCCTATTGTGCCAGCCCCAGATGATAGGTGAGGGTGATTGTGGAGCAATTGGTGGAATGAGGATTGGCAGGGGAAACCGAAGTACTTGGAGAAAACCTGCCCCAGCGCCACTTGACGAGACCCGGGATCGGGAAGCCAGCGACTAACCGCTTGAGCTATGGCGCGGCCCTAACTGTACAGTAAGAAGCAGAATAAAGAAGGGAAGACCAAAATAATAAGTTCAGGACAGAGAACAGTGGCCGGCTCTGATGAACACGACACTTCGGAGCCTACAACATATGGGAAATTTTCAGTCAAGGTAGAAGATTATGCCATTCCCTAGAAGGAGTATTCGCCGATCACAATGGCCGCGCGGTCTAAGGCGTGAATTGTCTTCACTCGCTCGGACCCTAGGATCGTGGACTCGAATCCCGCTCGTGGCATGGATGTCAATGTGTGTTTATTCTGTGTTTGTGTTGTCCAGCGTTTAGGTAGACGCCTTGCGACGAGCTGATCACCCGTCCAAGGAATCCTACCGTATGTGAAAAATGATTACGGATCTGAATAAGAGGCCTGGGCCCTTAATGGGCTGGAAGAGCCATTGAAAAAAAAACAGATAATTGACAAGGTCAAGGGAAGATCGTTAGATGATTATACCGTATCATTGCCACATGCCTTTGAAACTAAGCCACAAAACTCCAAACGAATTCGTTGGCTTCAGGTTTCTAACCTTGAAACCGTGTAAGTAATACCAATAATATATTGCATACAACAGCGAAAGATGTTCAGGCTGTTGATATATACGTGCTAGCGGGTATATACCCTGGTTACCAAGAAGCAGCTATTGTTCCGTTCGAGATAGTTTAACCATGTAATATAAAGTGAATTCACACAAACACGCAACAGCTTTTTCAGTAATTACACTAATTAGGTAACGAGGCAAGAGCTTTCATACAGCCCGGCTATTTCAATTATCTTTGACAGCGTAATTATCAGAAGTTGTGTAGAAGCCGGCTTGTCAATATCAGAGCCACACCGCCCAACAGCCAGTCTGAAGAGCGGCAGCCATTGTCAGATTGTCAGCATTAGCGAATAATAATGTAGGATATATAGAACCAGAGATGTCAGTCAAGTAACCAGCTACAAGACGTTTTGAATCTGACAGTAAGCTAACTAATTACAGATGTCTACCAATCTGACAAACAGGCATTTCAGAAATGAGCCATTAGAACAGTAATATTTCGATCAATTTCAATATATTCTAATCCGTTTTTACTATTTAAGAGCGTTTTATACCGTCAAAAATAAGGTAATTTGATTCTAGATAAAACCTGGGAAAATAATATTGTCACGTGATAGTGTGACTAAAAATAGGTTTGGATTGACAGCCGGATTTATTGCACACTTTCATATAGCACGTGACTACACTTTAAAGTTCACTTTTACACATTCACTATAGTGTCCACAATCACGTCTTCACTGTCATTGTTTGGTAGTGCCTCCCAACGGCGGATATCCCCCTTCCTCTGGGTTCCCGAACTGTCCCCGGTCTCAGCTACCAGCTGCTCACAACGACTGAACCCCAGAAATTCTCTAACTGCAACTGCTAACTGGTGCTGGCTATAACACCTCGGCACGGACCACGTAGAAAACGTCTCTTCCATTACTGTTGTATTCTCTCGTTGCAGTGGAAACATGCTTGTTTACGTAGCCGTTGCTTAGCAGTGGTTGTTGTATAGTTGCTTGCTTCGAAGTCGTTGCCTAGGAACGGGTCTACATGCCACAATATTAAAATGATTCTCAAAGAAAGAGAATATAAGGGTGGGGACTGGACTTGTTTGGCTTAGGACAGGGACTAGGGGCAGAGTCTTCTGAACACGTGGGGGGGGGGAAGGATTGTTGACCAGCTCCTTTGCTCCACGGAGTTAATGAGTTGCTGCCTTATATGCCTCCATAGGAAGGCATACGAGTTCATGGGTTGTGCTAAGGAGCTTTCTGTCTGAAATTCTAATTTGCATTCAGTCCCGGTACTGTAGAAACACATCGACCATCCCATGTATACAACTACAAGTATCTGCTTGATGAATCACTGTTTCTAGCAAAGTAATTCCGGGAGAGATGCCACACCGGTTCACATGTACTTAAGATGAAGCTGCGCGCGCATTCCGCTTTAGATTGCTGCGCTATGGAAAAAGTTACGTTGCGTGTTCATGATTGTTTGTGATTCGCAGTTTCCGGTTAAGCCAGATAAGTGCTGTTATTCTATCCGTGACTTTTTGTACAGCATTCACTTATAACTTTCGGACAATTTCAGAGGATCAGTTAACAGCTATAGCTGTACTATTGTGTCCTTATCGGCCATATTGATTGTTTGTAAGCCACGGAGCAAAGTGTGGCATTTCTCCTTCAAAATGGGACACATGTCACAAAAGAAAATTGCCGAGACAGCCCACCACGGGAAACGTGTTTATATGGCCTGAAGTGAAGGGCACATATTTTGGCACCTATAGTATTGATATTCAGATAGAAATACATACAGCAGAGCCGTTAGTACCTGATTCTAGCCCTTTTGATGTTGAAAGTGCTATTGCAAAATTGAAAAGTTATAAATCGCCAAGTAGTGATCAAATTCTGGCATAACTGATTGAAGCAAAAGGTGAAATATTACAGTGTGAGATCCATAAACTCATTAATTCTATTTGGAACAAAGAAGAATTGCCTGATCAGTGGAAGGAGTCTGTTATTGTACCAGTTCACAAGAAGGGTGATAAAACTGACTGTAGTAATTATCGAGGGATTTCACTGCTATCAACTTCATACAAAATTTTAAGCCAATATTCTTCTCTCAAAGTTAAGTCCATACATAGATGAAATTACTGGGGATCATCAGTGTGGGTTTCGACGTAACAGATCAACTACTGATCTGATCTTTTGCATTCGTCAGATAGGAGACAAAATGGGAATACAGTGAGACAGTACATCAGCCATTCATAGTCTTCAAGAAAACATATGACCCTGAATGTACAGCATTCTAAGAGAGTTTGGGGAACCCATGAAACCAGTTAGGCTGAGTAAAATGTGTTTAAACGAAACGTATAGTAAAGTCCGTATAGGAAAACATTTCTCTGTTAATTTTCTTATCCAGAATGGTCTAAGACAATTATCGCCATTCCTTTTCAACTTTCCTTTAGAATATACCATTAGGAAGGTCCAAGAAAGCCAGGTGGGGCTGCAATTAAACGGGACACATCAGCTGTTGGTCTATGCCGATTATATGAATCTACTGGGTGCTAATATAGGTACCACATAGAAAAACACACAAACTTTAATTGACGCCAGTAAGGAGGTTGGTGTAGAGGTAAACACAGAGTATATGTTGCTCTCTCCTCACCAAAATGCAGGGCAAAATCACGACATAAAGATAGGTAACAGATGTTCTGAAAATGTGGCACAGTTCGGATATTTTGGAATGACGATAACAAATCAAAACCTGATTGAGGAGGAAATTAAGAGGAGACTGAACTCGGATAATGCTTGCTACCATTCAGTCCAGAACCTTTTGTCTTCTTATCTGCTGCCCAAAAACATAAAAATTAGAATATACAAAACTATCATTTTGCCTGTGGTTCTGTATGGCTGTGAAACTTGATCTCTGGCTTTAAGGGAGGAACATAGACTGAGGGTGTTTGAGAACAGGGTGTCGAGGAGTATATTTGCACCATAGAGAGATGAAGTGACAGGAGGTTGGAGAAAACTACATAATGAGGAGCTTCATAACTTGTACTCTTCTCCAAGTATAATTACAATGATGAAGTCAAGGAGGATGAAATGGTCAGGGCATGTAGCACGAATGTGGAGAAGAGGAATGCATATATGTTATTGGTGGGAAAGCCATAAGGAAAAAGACCATTGGGAAAACCAAGGCGTAGGTGGGTGGACAATATTAAAATGGATCTTAGAGAGACAGGATGGGATGGATTTGATTGATCTGGCTCGTGATAGGGACCAGTGAGGGCTCTTCTGAATACGGTAATGAAACTTCGGGTTCCATAGAATGATGGGAAGTTGTTGAGTAGCTGTATAATTGGCGGCTACTCAAGAAGGGCGCAGCTCCATGAGTAAGTAAGTGATAGTATTGATGTTCGCCGGATTCCGACCTATGTCTTTATTGATTTTAATACACTGTAGACCTTCCCATTGCCAGCTTTTTACTTATCCTGTCCTCTGAAGTCAGGCCAGGGAAGAAAAGTCCATCCACTCCACGAACCAGGGTGCGTCATACAGACCGTAGTCAAACTTACGGCAGGAAAGCGCTGTGGAAATATGTCTCAATTTCCCACCGAAGCGTGAATATGAGAATTATCTTGAAACTAGAATCTACTAACTTTCTAATGATGACGTAACGATTTATGTCAATTACTGACGGCGGCCCATCCTCGTTTCTGTAGTGGATGGGTTCCACTTCTTCAAATTTGGCGCTCCGCCTCATCAGCATTTGAAAATCCGAGAAAAGCCATGAATATCTAGAATAGGGGTAAGTTTTCTCAGGGTACATTATGGATGTTACGGGATCCATATACGTGCTTCAGCAGGAGATGGAAATCTGGCGATTTAATCAAGAGAAAGCTCAATCCAACAGGCATAAAGAAAAACTCAAATGGCCTGTAGTCCGCAAGCGAACTATACCGACCGAGCGACCGCCGCTTGTCGGCGAAGTTAGTGCTAACTTTAGCGGATAGAGGGTGTCGCATGGTCAGCACAACGGATCCCCAAGGCCGTCAATTTCGATTTTCTAGACCGGATCGCTATTTCCTTTAAATAGCTCATTAAATACCCTCACGAAACTGAGTGGACGCCTTTTGAGACACACCACTTCTCAGAAAATTTGGTAGCACCGGTAATCAAACCCGGACCTCTGGATCTGTAGCCAGGAACTCTAACCACTAGACCACTAGACTACAGAGGCGGTCCAACGGGTATATCACAATTCGTTATGCACGGAGCATTTACCGTAATGTTCGTATGTAGATTTTAGAAAACCTTACGAGTACAAAGTTCTTATTCATGTTGGTTTCAAGCCTTTTGGAGTGGAAACAGAACGGAAAAATAGTTCGTTACATCAAAGAGCTTGGAAAGACGGATTCGTTCTAAAGATGAATACTGTCCATTCCATTATTTTTAGATTAACTGCTGAACTAAATCTTTCACACGAATCCAATGACGGCTGGCTAATATCCTTCAAGAACAGTGACTGGAACTTATCGGATGTGAAAACATATTTCAACATCTTAAAAACCATTCTAACATAATTTGACTTCCTAAATAACCCCCAAATCGAAAGCAACACGGATGAAAGGGGGTTCGATGTTAACAGCAAGTCAGGAGAAGTAGGAAAAGAAACAGAAAGTTCTGGGAAGAACTGATCACCGACTTTCCTCTGATATCACATGGACCGCATAGAAAATGAAGCTTACAACAATTCTTTGTTTGCCGCGAGTACGTGTTTACTTAGTCGTTGCCTAGCAACGATAGAGGGATACACCGTCCAATCCAGTCCGGTAAATTTCTGCTGGCCTTCGCCAATACAGTCATTCTCGTTTCCGAGTCCTACTGGACTCATGACTATATTTTACTTTCTCACGGTTCTGGGAGCCTTGGTAGCACATGTACAAAATTTGGAGATATACACAGACAGACCTATAGACTCTCTCCTGCGATAAAACACGGGCCGTATAGAAAGCGATGCATCCAACAATTCTTCTATTTTCGAGTGTATTCTTTGACGCGGGAACGTGTTTACCAAGCCGTTGCCTATCAACGAAAGGGGGATAGGCATATGAACACACAGACTGACGAGAGGGATCTATGAAGTACGGCGTTGAGATGGGCTCAGATGCCATGATGCACATACCAAGTTTCATAAAGATTGGTTCAGGCATTCAGAAGTTGATACGGGGGGATACATAGACACACGGACAGGAAGGCGATCTCATAACCAAGCTTTTATTTTTTTGCAAATAAGGAAAGTAATTTTAAAAAATGGTTCGAAACTGTTGACCACGTCACATCTACAGAGAATTGTAAGCTTGTGACGATTGTGGGAACCTGCAATGCGGAGGGTCGGTTTTTACGGTATCTGATTACATTGAATGCAAAACTGGTGCTTCGGCCTCCCCCTCTGGGTGAAATATTTCTCTTAAAGGCTTATATGAACATAGATTTGTCTGCCAATTTATATATAGAGAATTTTATGCCAAGAAATGCCCCAGGAACCAATCTATCCATTTAGATGCATAAGTTACCTGCTACAGTTCCACAGAATTGCTTCAGTTTACGAAAGAAAACAGCGGTTTTACCGGCTCACATTAGAACAGTGCAGCACCCTTCTGCGCAGGTGCAATTTTGGCCCATTAAAAGAACTTTTAAAACAAGATACTATCAGCTGAGGCAACGCCACGAAAAAGTGACAAGGATGCGACTTGGAAATTTGATAAGTGGAGACTCGAACATAGCTCCTTCAGTAAAAAAAAATCTGTCTCTAAAGCCACTTGGATATTCCTTTTGGTTGGAAGTGAAGTTCCAGATCATTCCCAGTTTGTGACGAAGCTGAGGTAAGCGAAGTAAAGGAATCTCGTGGTTCTGAGTTACTAATGAAGAATTGTGTTGCTTTTTTTAGCGTAACTACAATTCTCCAAAAAACTCAGACTTATTCCCTCAGATGTTGTCTTCGATTCCTCCTCTTCATTCATTCATCAGTAATCTGTCAGACGACAGGTCCACAGTCTCTTCCAAAACAGTTCCTCCACTTAATGTGATCTTCTGTTTTTGGAAAGAGGCTATCCAGGAAAAGTGATAATGTGGTAGTTTTTCCATTTGCTTTCCACATCGCAGTACAGCAGCCGTTCAAACCGCTCTGGTCACGCCTGTTGCTATACGAACTTGAACCATCTCGAGCATCATTTGCTCTGTGCTTCAAGTCGCTACTGATGACGCTGCTTCCGGCATCAGTTTTTGGTGTCTCTCTTCGTCTGATGCCTACCCTTTGACCTGTCCAGCAAGGGAGGCCCTGCCAGTAGCTACGCTACCGCTGGTATAGCTCTCAGGGTCCTTGGCATACTCAAACCCCCTC